GAAGACCTCGCCGCACTCTACCAAACAACTAGGTACCTATCTCGCAAAAGTTCGACACAAATTAATCCAGTAAAGGATGACAATGGAAAGTCAATCACCAAAGAAGCGGAGCAAAGAAAACAGTGGGCTGAACACTTCAAAAGATTTCTAAATCGACCGCCACCTACAACGCGCACAACAATACCAACAACGGAAGCAGAACTACCAGTGAACATTAATCCTTCGACGAAATCAGAAGTCTTGAAGGCAATCAAGATGCTTTAAGCTGAAAAAGCAGCAGGACTAGATGGAATCCCAGGACTTCGGCCGGAACAGGGTGGATTCAGGAGAAACATGTCATGTAATGATCAAATCGCCACACTACAGATCATCACTGAACAAAGCTTGGAATAGCAGTCACCTCCCTATCTCAACTACATAGACTTTGAAAAAGCATTCGACAGCGTTGATCGAGAGGTGATTTGGTAACTATTTCGCTACTATGGGGTGCAACCGACAATTACACATCTCATCCAACAGTTGTACGACAATGCTAAATACCAAGTAATCCACAACGGGAAACTTACGGAATCCCTCGAAGTGAAGACGGAAGTAAGACAAGGCTGTCTACTATCGCCAATGATTTTCCTGATTGCAGTAGATTGGATAATGCGACAGACAACGGGCAATGAGGAAACAGGAATAAAATGGACTCACACAAAAAATACTTGGAGGATCTGGACTTCGCCGATGATATATGTTTGATTTCCCACAAACTGGAAGATATGCAAGTGAAAAGCAACAAGCTGGCAGAAGAAGCATCAAGATAGGACTTCAGGTGAACATATTGAAAAAAGAGGTGATGAAGATTCCTGGCCAACAGCAACAGCAACAACAGACAATAATCAGCATAAATGGGAGGAACCTGAACGAAACAACCTCTTTTACCTACCTGGGAAGCATCGTTTCAAATACAGGCGGACGGAACTGATGAGGATATCAAAGTGATGATCGGGAAAGCAAGACAAGCTTTCATTTCTCTCAAGTCTGCGTGGAGGTCAACAGCACTACTCAGCATCAAAATGAAAATAAGATCCGGATTTTCAACTCCAATGTGAAGTTAGTCAGTGCAACTATACGGATCAGAGACTCGGCGCGTCATAAAGAGCACCTCAAACAAACTTCAGACCTTCATCAACAGTTGTCTTCGCTCAATACTCAAGATCAGATGGCCGGCCAGAAAAGATCAGCAACAGTGAGGGATCTATGGTAATGAGCGAACCAACCAGGAACCGACTGTGCAACAAATAAGCAGGAATAAATTGAGATGCATTGGCCATACTCTGAGAAAACCACTAATTGACATCACTAGACAGGCCATCACTCGATTGGAATCCGAAAGGGAAGCGGTGAGTTGGTCGTCAGTGTGAGGTTGACTTGGAGGAGGTCATGGGTAAGAGGAGATGAAGGCTTGTGGGCAGATTTGGAACCAGGTGAAAACTCTAGCAGAGAAGTGAACGCAATGGAGACGTGCGTGGTGGAAGCCCTATGTTCCTCTAGGAATTAAAGGAAACAATAATAATAATAGATCATAAATGAAATATGTTCACTGAAAAAGAAATACCACTTACTTATCATAAAATTTTTGTTCAGATTTCATCGGCTCACTGTAAACTTCATATTGTTGACTTTGAAATTGACAGACAGCATACCCGTAGACTTTTACTTCATTCATTAATTCACTCCGATCATCATCATCATTCTTATTTAAATGTTCATCTTGAGTTTCACCATCGCCACCGCTGTCACTCCTACAATCCGTACCGCTGCCATCTCTGATATTATTGCCGCCTTTCCCTTTACTTCTATTACCCCTACTATGAATATCATGATTACTGATGTCACTAACACTTCTACAGCCTCTACTACCTCGATTTCCAAGGTTTCTATCACTGCCTTCATCACCACCCTGTCTACTTCTACTACCACGACAATGCCTACTGTTGTGGTTAACACCTCCATCGTCAGTGTCACTAACATCGACACCAGTGAAAAATAACTCTTCCATTTGTCTTTTCCATTCATTATTCCCCTGTTTAGATTTTTTAAATGTTTTTTTAAAATCATAATCCCGTAGATTCCAAACTAATTTTTTGATAGTCTTTTTTATCACAACAACAGATTGAGAATTTTTTATTTGAATAGCACCATTCATGAAAGCGTTTGATGTTTCATTGGTCATAGTAGAGTCAGTTGATAATACTGGTGTTGATAAATTGGCATCTTTAGCGGATTGTTTAATTGATGTTTGAAAGTTAGTCAGCACATCTTCATGAGTGTTAATTTTATCGCCTAAGGACATGAACTTTGATCCCACTCACTATAACTTTGACAGGGTTTCACTTTTGATTCATGCGTAAGGATACGTGGTTGACATAATACCTGAAGATAAGGAGAAATATAAATCAAACGAATGTTGACTTTATTATTCAAAAAGATAAACTGTAAATATAGTCTTAAAAATATTAAATATACATCCACTAGGCTGACGAGTCCCAAATAGGACGAAGTGCGCGCTATCCTGGATTCCACTGCTAGTCACCATCCACCATTTAAAATTCTGATTAAATATGTTTTTTCTTGGTTGTCAAGTGTTCATTTGCAGGGATTTGATTGAATGCTTACAGGATTTATCCCTAGCTGACAGTGGTACTTCAGGTTTCCTAATGGTTCTCTAACAGATATCACCTGGTGATCAATTCTGTAACCAATCAGATCCCTGCAAATCAACACCAAATAAATAATCTAATGCTCACTAGCGACTGGCTCTATACAGGGGGGTTGTATTGAGATGTTGTAACCAGCGAGGTCCACAAAGTTGGGCCTGTGAAACTGGGTGGCGGTTGAGCTAAATATATGTATCACGAATTTGGTTGGAAGTTGGAATTTATGGAGCATTTGGGTTGGGACACATTAGCTGAGTGGTCAGCGTGCTCTCCTGGCGGTGCGAGAGCCCTGGATTCGGACCCTGATGGATGCGTACTGCTGGGAAGTCCTGAGTTCGGACGGAACGACTGTGTTCCCAGGTTTCTTTATGATTTTATAGCTGATACTGTTTTAAGTGTTAGTTTGTAGGGATTTGGTGGGTTACAGGATTTCATCATGAGTTGACATTAGTTAGAGAACCATTGGAAAACCTTGAAGTACTGGACAGCTGTTTCGTCCTAGTTTGGGGCTCTTCACCAGTACGCACCCACCACAGGGAGTTCGAACCCAGGACTTTCTGGTTACAAGGCTAGGGAGCTTGCATACCATTAAGCCACTGGGACCCGATCCGATGGCCAGTAAATGAATTCTAATTTCTGCCAATTTACGATATAGCGGAACCGCCAGCGAATGTCTTCGGCGAGTATTTGTCCTCACACCCAACCTGCTGCACCCTACTGGTCACGACTTCCCACTGGAACCCCAGGTAACTACCAGCCTCAATAGGGCCAATCGCCAGTGAGTCTCAAGCTAGGAACGAAACAGCTGTCCAGTGCTCCCAGGTTTTCCAATGGTTCTCTAACCAATGTCAGCTCATAATGAAATCCTGTAACCAATCAACCAAATTCTTACAAGCCAATACGTGGATAACAAGGTTGGCTTCGTCACCAGCCGAAATAAATTCTGGCCTGGGTGGGAACATGGTTGCGCTGTATTGAAGAGTCTAAAACTAGGACGAGACAGCTGCTGTTCACCAATCCCCTAACTAATGTTGGCTTATGAACCTGTATTATATTAGTTTACCTACTGCAGAGAGTAAAGATATTGTAGTTGTGTGATACATAAAGAGTGTGTGCCAACGGAATATTATTCTCACATGTTTCCATAGTTCAATCATGCATTGGCAACAGAATACTATATGTGTATTTGAGCATTCTATTTCATGTCGGTTGATATAAACAGACATAACACACTCAGTAATTGGTTAAAGAATGTGGACTGTAGGTGTATAAACAGCGGTTTGATTAGTGAAAAATACACATTAGCTTCCGTGTCTTGCCATCTGTTGTTCCATTTGGTGTCTCTACCTGCCAACAAATGGAAAGTCTTTGCCCTAAAGTTTTTGATGGAGACATATGGATCTACGTGCAGGACTTCGAGGCTGTTGCTCAGTCGAGTGGCGATCAAGATCCCTTATCGATGAGGCTGTTACTTCGAATGCTGCTTGGAGGTCGGACGACGGCAGCAGCAAATGATAGCGTGAGGCGAAACACCGGTGAATACGAGCTAGGGTCATGCAAACTGCTTCCAAAGCTGGAAGGACCATACATGGTCACCGTGAGATATGGGGTCATGTATATATGATCAGAAATGCAAACAACGAGGAGCAGGTGAATGTCAGCGAGTTCCGGAACTCAGTACTGCAAGACAAGCTAACAAAGTCGCCAGCACCAAGATGATCCAACCGAAATCTGTCGAAAGTTTTTGACCGGGGAAGGGGGCGAGTGTGGTGGTGTGATACATACAAAGTGTGCCAACGGAATGTTATTCTCACATGTTCGTACGGTTCAATTTAGTATTAACAACAGAATATGATATATCTATTTGATGTTAGAGACAGAATACTATTCACACAGTTCAATACTACCACACTGGTAACAGAATACTATGTATAGTTGAACATTCTATTTCTTGTTATCACACGCTCAGTCATTGGTTAAAGAATATAAAATGTAGGTACATAAACGAATATGCAGGAGAAAGTGGAGATGGATTGGATACTCGCTGAGGAAACCGCTGGGTGATATCGCGCGCGCGTCAGGCCATCACTCGAGTGGAACCGGGCCGAAAGTGAAGCGGAGAGTGGGTCGTCAGTGCAAGGGTGACATGGAGGAGATCGTGTAAAGAGGAGATGAATCAGCATGGACTAACATGGGTGCAGGTGAAAAGTACAGCAGACGACAGAAACGAGTGGAGACGTGCAGCTGAAGCCCTATGTTCCACTAGGAACCCAAGGGAACAACAATAATAATACAAACAACGGCTCGATTAATGAAAAATATAATAATAATAATAATTTACTTTATTCCAAAAACAGTACTTGTGATACAGAATGGAATTCTCAGCATTAATCACAATATTGCATCTAATTTTCTCAAATTATAAATAAAATTAATCAGACAGAAAATTTTCCACATTTACAATAGGGGTTATGTCAAAAACATGCAGCATATAAAATGGAAATAATAATAATGATAACAGCTAAGGTAATAATAATACAAGTGAAACTGCCGTGGGCTTGTCTCACACAGTATTGTCGACTCGGTATAGAAATCCTAGCATGTTTAAAAATATTGAATATAATGTTCTCTTTACATGATATGGTGAGGGGAAAAACAAAGATTACAGCAGTCATAGAGATAAGTTGGTATTTGCAATTATGAAAGTAAAACAAACAAAGAAGCAACTGGACCATGAATATAATAGAAATAATAAAAGTAAAACTTGAAGGTATATAAGGATGGATGGATGGAGGAAATTGTTTATTTACTAGATGAAAAAAGGTTAGTTAATTCTTGCCTGACACTATTTTCATCATCACATAAAATACGTGCCGCCAAGTATGGTATCATAGAATTTTTATACTTAGACGTGCGAGCATACAGTTTTCTGAAGTTACTTCTTGTTCTACCTGAGGAGATGCAAGGTGAAAGCTGAGAGTAAAGTGGATGCTCCAAGTTAGACAAAATCCCTCTAGCAAATTTATTGCACGAAGTCAAGTGCCTATCGACAACGACGTTAACTATGTGATCCACTGAGACACCACTCATCCCCTCTACTGACAGTCCTCAGTATTCTACGATTTGTGACATAGTCTTTTTTAAGCAAACCAGGAAAGAATAAGGGTGAACAATAAAGAAGAATAGGTAGGATGCAAGAGTTTATGAACTGTAAGAGGAGGGGTTGGTTGAGTTATGCCCGAGTGCCTAAACTTCTTAATGTAAAATGTCAGGTGGAATATTTTACTGGAGATCGCTAAGACATGGGGAGACCAGGAGAGATCAGAAGAGAGAATAAGTCCAAGATACATAATTTCTGACTTAATTCCTATATAACTGTCGTCAATCTTACAACTGTCGTGAGAATCGACGAATTCTTTTAACCGTCTTTTACATCTTAAGCTGAAATTAACAGTTTGACATTGATTAGGATTCAGTTTAAGACCGTTAGACTCAGACCATTTACTGACTCCGTGCCTTGCCTTCTGTTGTTACAATATTATGGAAAAAAAGCTTTGGGTTCCTAGTGGAGCATAGGCTTCAACTGCACGTCTCCACTTGCTTCTGTCTTCTGCTGTGCTGTACTTTTCACCTGCATCCATGTTAGTCCGTACTGTTTCAACTGCTCTTCACAGGGTCTCCTTCATGTCGGTGGCACAGTGGTTAGGACTCTCGTCGACCATGCACATGGTCTGGGGTTCGAGCCCACGCCGACGCACACCTGATATCTATGGTCGGCCTGTAAAATTTGGGCTACCGATACCATGCTGAAAATTCCATACTTGTACCAAAAATACAGTGTGGAATCAAGCTGTAAATAAAAAATAAATAAAATAAAATGTCACCTTTGGATGTCCCACCCGCCTCTTCCCTCTAGGGTTTCACTAGAGGGCCTGACGCGCGTTGTCACCAACCGGCCTCCTCAACAAGTATCCAATTCATCTCCACTTTCTCTTGCATGTTTGTTGGGCGATTGGTTCTTGTTTTGTTTGTTCCCATAGTTTCTTGTTGGTGATTCTTTCCGGCCCGGCCATCTAATTGATCTTCAGCATAGAGTGAAGACAGTTGTTGGTTGGTAAAGGTCTGCAATAGCCTTTGGAAATATTCTTTGTGACCTGCCTGTCAAGTTTATAATCCGTATAGAAGAACTGACTGACTTGACGTTGTTTGTATTGAAAATCCGACTGAATTTTGTTGTTGATGCTGAGTGACGAAGATTTCCAGATTGGTTTCAGGTCTCGCCCTCCCGATTCTCGCTCGATTTGACATCCTCGTTCGTTCCTCCTGTAGTTGAGACAATGCTCCTAGATGACAAGTGAATGAAGTAACCTCTTCCAAATCCCTCCGTTGATGGTGATTGGCGCTTGTTGTTGCTGTTGTTGTTGGTTGGTTATTTTCATAACCTCCGTCTTTTCCATGTTCACCTGGAATCCTGTCTTCGCCGGCTGATTCTTCGACCAGTTTGTCGGTTTTCGCTTGTAAGTCTTCGATTTTGTGTGACATCAAACATAAATCAACCACGCGCGAAATCCAAGTCTTCTAGGTTCTTCACGTCGGTCCAGGATATTCCTGTCTGTTCGTTTCCCACTCTCCGACGCATAATCCAGTCCACCACAATTAGTAATATCATCGGTGATAATAAGCACCCTTGTCTGACTCCTGTTGCACATTATGTTATGCAATAAATTACCAACAGCAATCTTTTCAGGGAAACAGCTGTTTCACTTACATGTAAAATTCCACAGCAAAACGCAAACAAACATTCTGTGCAATTTCATTACAGCTTTTACTAATAAACAATTCCCCAGTCTGCATGTTAACTGAAGCATCGTGTAGAATCACAGTAAAACTGTTAGTATTGTCTGGAATCTGTAAGAAAAAAAGAAAAAAAAAGAGAGACAAAGCAGGAAAATAAAACTGAATTAATTTAAGTCGTTGTGTATTTCCTAACTAAAAGATTGTAATGGATTGAAATGCTTGGTAATCCTGTGTTGACATGTCGGTTCCTAGCATGGAGGCTTCAACGATGCGCTGTGATGTCAACAAGATGTTTACCTTGTTGAGAGATGGTTAACACTTGTATCCCGGACACGTGTTTGGTTGTGTTTTAAACTTATCAATTGGTAGTCACTACCAAAGCTATTAATCAAAGTAATACTGCCAGCCAAATTGGTAGACAGTAATTTGCGTTGATGTTTATCTCCCATAGCTTGGTCATGAGAAAAAAAGCAAGAACAAAGCCTGACCTTGAGGAACTCACCAACCAATCATAGCAGATTGAATGTGTGCAAATACGATTCAAATATATAGCCTGACTTTCTAAGAAGCTGCCACAAAGAGATGACAGAGAATAACCTTCAGCAGGAAAACAACTAATCAGAAGACGTTGCTTCTCCGCTAACAATAACGCGAATAGTAATGAACATAAAAGTCTATAAATACCTCTTGATTTAGTCAAAGAAGGATCTATTGCCTGGCTCTTGTCTTCTGTTGTTAGAATATCAAGATATCAGTTCAAGGCTTTCATAAACCAAAATTAGACTGACCCGTCTTGGTCAGATATATTATTTGGAAATCACGAATATGCATAAGTAACGCATTACTACTATTATTTTTCTGAGTTCCAGTTGGAACATAGTGCTCCAATAGTTCATCTCTGTTCCCCCTGTTCTCTCTAATCCTCTTCAGCTGGCCCAACGACTGCTCATAAGCTTTCGTCTTCTCCATGCACAGAACCTTCTCTGTGTGACCTTCAGATGTCCAACTCATCCTTTCCCATTTGGGTTCTACTTGAGAGCTTGGCGTGTGATATCACTCAACTGTCTTCTAAGCGTGTGATCCAACCGTCTTCATATATGATGGAGAAGATTGTAGCTCAGGTGGATGATTTTGGTGTGTTGTGTTCTCTGGGCTAGCCCGATGGTTTATTTGCGAAGCTTTCATTGCCCTACTAACCAAGAAACGTCTTCATGCATACTTCAATCTGTTGAAGTGAGCTTTTAGATTTCTCCATGAGTTTATTATTCATCTCTCCTGGTGACCACCTTGAACGTGATTGTTTGTTTTTGTGTGTCTTCACACCTTCTAGGTTACTTGTATTAGAACTGATTGTTTCTTTGACTTGAACTTTGACCCTTTGTGTGTAAGGTTTCTTTCTTATCGGTTGAAAAATTTTGCCTATCTCGATGTGTCTATTGATTGACGATTCACTGGAATACCAGGTGGGCTTGTAAAAAATTCTCCGGCTACATTCTTGGTGTTTCCTCTATCTAATATTTGAAAGCTGGTTATCCCAGTCGAACTGATGTCCATGGTTGTCTGTCTGCAGTGAGCGAATGAGGGAGTGGATATCATGTCCTTTGACGGTTAGCTTATGATCTTGGATACAAAGACAACGGGGACCTTTTCCATTTTGACCAATGTAGTGATTTTCTCAGTTGTTACAATTTATTTTGTAGATGATGTTGGTTTTATCTTCTTTCGCTGTTGAATCTCTTGGTTGACACAGGGCTAGCCCACCGGCTGATTGAAGTGATTTTGTTGGTTTGTGTGCGACGTCAATTCCTAAAGTTGTTTGAAGAGTCTTGCACTGATTTCTCAGATGTCCTTTATATATGGTAGGATGATTTTCTTTATGCTTTCTTGAGTGCCTTTGATTTGATAGTTGGCTTGGCAGTAAATGTCTTCTGATGAAATTCCATGGATATCTATTCTTTTGAAAGAGGTCCATGAGATGTCTTTCTTCAATTTTCCTTGAGGTAGGTGGGAGTGCTGCAATGAGTCCTGGCTGGCCCTCTTGAGTAGTGTTTGTATACAATTCTTTTTGTGTGTTATTGGATTTTTGTTGTTGTAATTCCATATTTGGTCTGTGTGAGTTGATTTTCTTTAAACTTGAGTTTCGAATTCCTCTGTGGTTGTTCGCTTGACTAAGACATCCAAAAATAGAATTATGTTTTCAGATTCCTTTCTCTTGTGAATTCGATATCGTTGAAGACGTTGTTTATTAAGTTGTGGTTTTATCCAACTCGTTTCTTTTGATCATTAAAAATGTGTCGTCCACGCAACGTATCCAAATTTTGGGTTTGATATTTGGTAATATTATGTTTTCAAGTCTTTGCATCACTGCTTCTGCAATCGAACCTGATATTGACAATCTCATGGGTGTTCCTTTAACTTATTACTGTATTTGATCGTTGAATTTGAAGTATGTCATTCAGCTTAGCTTGTGCATTCCATTCAGTTTGTGTGTTTTATTTTCGATTGTTGTGGGAGGTGTTCGTCGTTGCTAATTAATTGCTCCATGGTCTCTTTTTCTAGTTTCTGTTCAGCTGAGGTATATCGTGCCATGACGTCAAAGGATATCATTATTTCTTGGATAGATAACTTTAATAATAATAATTTGCTTTATTCCAAAACAGTACTTGCGATACAGAACGGAATTTTCAGTATTTCATCACAGTATTGCATCAGTTAGTACATTAACAACAAATAAAATTCTACATAGGTTATGGGTAATCTCAGTTAGTTTTGGCAACAACATATTAGCATGTCGGTAGCAAAGCCAAAATTGAGCAGAATTTTAAAGGTGTTAGAAAAGTAGATACTAACTGGCATATTTACTGGCGTAAGCAGTAACAAAAAGGTCGAGATATACAGAGTGTAAAAGAACGAAGAAGAATGTTTTAGGTGGAGTTTGTAAGGAAGAGAGAAACAAAACAGCACATAACAAATACAAAAAAGCGATAGAGAGAAAAGGAAAGAAAGAAAGAAAACGTTGTACCTGTAAATGATGTGAGTTGGAAAGACGACATGCAGTTGTTCTAATGACTATTTAATAAGTAATAGTATCACGCTAATGCTTTCTTTATCACACAGAAGATACAAGGGGAGAGTTGTGAATGAAGAGTGAGTTAGACAGATAGAATGGATTTAGCCCATTTTTCACATGAATCCAAGTGCCTGTCAACCAGAATATTAACAAGCTGGTTAATTGGCACATTGCTTACCCTGCTGACACCCTTTAACATCCTGCGAAATAAGGTATAGTCTTTGTTTAGTAGTCCTGGAAAAACTAAGGGCAAACAATAGAGAATAATAGTCAGAATGCGAGAGTTAACGAATCGTAAGAGTAAGAGTTGGTTATTCCAGAATGTCTTAACTTCGTGATGTGGAAGTTAAGACGAATATTTTCTTATAAATCATCAAGATATGAGACTACTAGGAATGATCAGCAGATAGAATGACGCCAAGATATATAATTTCCAATTTGGTCTATATTTCAGTGCCATCTATATTGCACATCTCGTGAGTGCTAACCAGTTTGTTTAGGTCAGATTTATGTCTAGAGGTGAAATTGACTGTTTGACATTTAGAGGGATTTAAGGTAAGACCGTTTTTCTTGGACCACTGGCTGTATTGGTTTTCAATGGTTCTCTAACTGATATCAATCCGTGATCAAACTTTAAAAAAAAACGAAATCAAATCCCTACAAATCGACTTTTCAAAAATTTAGAATAAGTTAAAATTTACCTGAGCATAAGATATTCTTGCTGGTGTTGATGCGGATGCAAACCATTTAAATTTTAAAGATAAATGTCCACCATTTCCATGTATTTCATTAGAATTATCATTTGTTTGATTATTGTTTGAATTCACTGCATAAATTGGCGCGGGAAGACGTTTAAACTCTGACCATTTACCAATAACAATACACCAATCTCCATTGGAGTCTTTTATTAAAATACCACGATCATTAGCTGATTGTGACAAACCCCAAATATTACTATCATTATTATTAGTAGTAGTTGCAGCATTGTTATTATTATTTTTTGGAAAGGTATTATTGTTATCTTCATGTTGTGAAAGATCTTTAAGTGTTTGTTTAAATTGTGTAGTCAAGTGATTTAAATTACGCAGAAAATTCAAATTTGAATGTTGAACATTGAATCTCATCGGAAGTAAATGATTAGATGATTTAAAATACTTTTTACTATGTGGGCTATTAGAATTACAACTGGATTTCTGTAAAAATAAAAGATATCATTATTAGAAAGGAGCCGGAAATAAGAACTGAACTGGGCAGATATGCGATAATGACGAGTCCAAACAACAATAATAAAAGCTGGATAAACAATTTCATTCCGAATTCTTTTAAATATCTGACAGTTATTTTATTTCATTCTTATTTTGATCCACGTATTCCATCGTGAAATACGTTAGACTGAATTGTAATTTGCTAAAATTCTTCATTAACTACTCACGAATCGATTTAAATTTGATCATGAATGATATCAGTTAGAGAACCATTGAAAACCATACAGAACTTCAAGCCGTTTCGTCTTATTTCGACACTCATCATCAGTAAGTACCCACCGCCAGAGTTTGAACCCAGGACTTTCCGGTTGCAAGACAAGCTCATAGACAATCCAGTCTCTGAGACCAGCTCAATGGTACATAAATTTAATCTCTACCAATTCGTAACCTTTGATGTTGTCACCTGTGCTTATTACTGGGTAGTCACAAACCATTGTTTACCGCTTTGCATTGGTTGGTTATGTGACATCGATTCATGAACAAAACCACCTTAACATCAGTCACATCACGAATAACTTGACACCTAAACATATGTATGCATTACTCCTTTGTCTCAGTGGCTTACTGATCTACGAACACACTGGACTTGTAACCAGAAGGTCCTGGCTTTAACCTCGGTTGGTGCGTACTGTTGAAGAGTCCCAAATTAGAACGGAGGGAATAGCTGTCCAATACTCCCAGTTGGTTTTCCAATGGTTCGTCAACTGTTGTCAGCTCATGATGAAATCCTCGAACCAACTTATAATAGACTGACTTGCGAACAATTCTAATGAGCTGATAATCAATTGGAAAAAATGGTTCTCTAACGAATGTCAGACCATGATGAAATCCTCTAACCAATCAAATCCCCACAAACCAATACCTGAATATCGATGAGATGCTCACTAGCGACTCGCCCTATTCAGGTAGGTAGTTACCTGGGGTTCTAGTGGGAAGTGGTGACCTGTAGGCTGCAACAGCAGCTAGGGTGTGAGGACAAATACTTGCCGCCGAAGACATTGGCTAGGGTCGCGCTATGTCGTGAATTGGTAGAGTTAGAATTCATGGGCTGGCCATTGACTCGGGTCCCAGTGGCTTAATTGTATGCGAGCTCCCTAGCCTTGTAACCAGAAAGTCCTGGGTTCGAACTCCCTGTGGTGGGTGCGTACTGTTGAAGAGTCCCAAACTAGGAAGAAACAGCTGTCCACTACTGCCAAGTTTTCCAACGGTTCTCTAACCATTGTCAGCTCATGATGAAATCCTTTAACCAATCAAATCCTTAAAAACTAACACTTGAATACAGAAGGATTTCTTCTTGAACATTTGACTTACCTCGTTTAGGTCAATAAAATGGTTATTTCAATAAAATAATCCAGCTTTCTGTAATCAACATGATTTAAGATAACTAACAAACTGACGAAAGTGAATTCGATTTCCAATATCTTTGTCTATCTTAACCAAAATACAGCATGTATTATAGTCTTTAGGCTAATATGCATATATCTACCAGTGGAGATGTCCAAATGAGAAGATAGAATTGTCAGTCATTATAGTTAGGGAGTTTAGTCAGCTGACTCTGGGTGAGTCTAAATGGTTTAATTTGATGCTTAAAAACTAACAATGCTAGTAAAATTTACGATACAATAAAAATACATAAGCCAGGTTACCCCATATGACGACCAATACTAGATTTCAGAAATACCCCTACTTATGAATTATCAAAACACTTAGCTATAATATTATGCCCCATTAGAAATCGTTTAAACTTTAGACTAGCTAATTCATATGAGATGAAAAATAAACTAAATGACATTCAACTAGAGAATGATGAAAAAATGGTTAGTTTTGATATAACTAGTCTTTATACTGATATACCAATCAAAATGACAGCCTTAGAAGCGGTTAAAAGAGAACTAACTGCATATCCTGAACTTACTCAAAGGGCAAAGCTGCCCATTGAGAAAATTATTTTAGGAATTCATTCATGTCTCACATTTACTGTCTTTAAATTCCAAGGGGAAAATATTCAGACAAATAGAAGGCGTAGCAATGGGATGGACCACCAATATCCCCATACGGTAGTAGATATCTTTATGGACAACTGGGAAAATATTGCTCTTAACACAACATTTAATCCTTCTCCAAAAGTATGGTGGAGATATGTGGATGACAATTTCAAAGTGTTAAAAACAGAACATATCTCTCTCTAGCTTCTTGACACATATAAACTCACTAGTAGAGGGAAAACAATTTACATTTGAATCAGAAAATGAACAAGAAGAATTAGTTAGGATGTTAGATTGTAAAATGAATGAATAGAAGAAGGTAAACTGCACACTAGCATTAATAAAAAACCAACACATTCTGCTAATAGATATTTAGACCTCAGTTCATCTTATCCGTTATCTGTTTGTGAGTGAACGCAGGCTTAGTTAAGTGTCTGTCTAACAAACTGAGCAATAGCACTGAGTAGTACAACAAGAAGCCTAAATGATGAAATGAAACAGGTAGAAGAAGAGGCGTTTTGGTGTCAAATAACTATCCTATCCTATTCATTAGGAAGATCAGGAAAGGTCAAAAGCAAAATAAAAATAATGGGGAAACTAATAATGGTAACATAAATAAGAGAGAATATGAGGCATTTATAGTAGTTCTACCATATAAGGAGGGATTCTTAATATAATAGGAATTAGGTTGGCATTCAAACCTACAAACTCACTCAGACAGGGACAAGCTCTGCAGGCTAAAGGACTCTGTCGGTGGACCCAATTAGACACAAAATACTATAATTTACAAAATACTTTGCAGTGACTGTGAGTGAGGACAACTGCATAGGTCAGGCTAGTAGATTGGGAGTAGTGAGATTGCCAGTCTGAATAAAAGAATTTAGCTAAGGTTAGAATGGCTGATCCCACGAAGATGAGTAATTTGGAAGAAAACCCAGCAATTGCACTACATGCATTAACACACAACTACACAATACGGTGAGTGGGACAGAGTCAAAATTTTAAAAAGTGATATAGTTAGGTGGAGAGAGAGAGATTGATTACCGAATCCTGTCTGGTTCATCGAGTCTACACCCATCACATGCCCAACAGAAATGACTTAATGCAAATACCACAGATATGGAAGGGATTATTACCACCAGTCAGTCAGTCAAATCAGAGGGGATAATAAATAATCTTAAAATTCTATTTCAGCTCAATTCACATACATCATAACATTCTAACAAGTTACTTATTTATTTTGACTATAAAAACACTCGTCTGATTTCCCATCTGATTGTAACTGAGCAATAACACTCATATTATTATTATTTCTGAATGTACATTATCCCATATTGATTTTTGTTCCAACATCTAATCGATTCCAAACATGTATATAAATGTGAAGGAAAAAAGTTGTGTGAGTGAGTGACTTGATATCATTATGAACAGAAATGAATTGTGCTCTAATTGTGGTCATCAGTTAATATTACTGTATAACATTATGTGGAACTTTATCAAAATAACAATTTTATCCATAATGGAGTTATACTCTACCACCACAGTGCCTAATTTTTATCCTTATGATTGATTTCAGATTCAGATTTATTGGTTGAGGATAGAAGGCTTGCAGCCTATGTTAATCCTTTTCTAGTAGATTTCTGTGGTTGTCCAAACCCTTCTTGAACGAATCAGTTGAGGTTGCAGACACCACTTCTTCTGGGAGTCAGTTCCAAGAGTTTATGACTCGATGTGAGAACCAGTACTCAACAGCAATATGATTTCTCCTTGGCTTTTGAACTTTCCTGCTATGTCCTCTGAGGTGTTCCGACCTGGTGGGAAGGAAAAGAGAGAATAGGTCAGGTCCGTAGTCATTATTTAAAATTTTAAACATTGTGATTAAATCTCCTCTCTGCCTACGGTATGACAGTGAGAAGAGATTTAAACTATCTAGTCTTTCCTCGTATGATAAGTTAGCTATGCCGTGAACCATACGTGTTGCCTTCCTTTGAACACTTTCTAGAATGTGTGAATCCCCTTTTAGACACGGACTGGCGGCCTGGATGCAGTTTTCCAGTCTTGACCTAACCAGAGATGTGTATAAGGAGGTGAACATATCTCTGGTAATTCTTGTAAAGGCTCTGCGAATCGCCTATAAGGACCTGAAACTACATGCAGCCACCGCGCGACAGTGTGCTGTAGTTTTTAAGTCGTGGTTAACTATGACACCTAAGTCCAAGTGAGTCTGAACTGATGGAAGTGTTATTCCCTCTAGTTCGTAGGAGCTCGTGCTTGCTTGTCCAATGCGCATGGTTGCACATTTTGCCACATTGATCGGGAGCATCCATTCAACAGACCACTCCGACAATTTGTTGAGGTCCTCTTGCAACGTGAGCGTATCACCGTTGCTCTTCAGCTCTCTCCAAATTTTTAAGTCATCTGCGTATAGGACCATATATCGAACTTTATTCAGCATTATATATATCTAAAGTAAGATCAAGCTGGACAAACAAAAATTTCGCCTACATCTTCGTTATACGGCCAAATTTTTTGCCATTTATGAGGAAAACTTAAACTTAATGTTTTTCAAGAAAGATTTAACCCACCTATTTTTTTTTTAATACCATGGTCTTAAACTGACTTTTCATGACCGACATTCATCTTTTTTTTGCGTTATTATCTCACTATGAATTATCTCCATATAAATTGGTTGTATACTTTCTCGATTATGTAAGATTACGCCTTATTTTTCATATGTGGCTAATTTGCATACACTTTGATTTATCCTGCCTACTAATCGAAAGTAACCTTCGACCCGCGTATACTTATTCCTCTTGACCAGTTTAAGCAAGGCTAGAGAAGTAGTTTGTGAATAATAAGATGGCAGCACCATCACTTATCTCGTCCGCTTCTCATCAACTGCTTTACAGCCTATTAAGGTTATATACAGAATAATTTCGCCAC